TATAATATGAACACTGAGTAATAATTAACAAAAATTATGGTATAACTACAGACTAAGAGGAACAAGAAGAGTGTATATAGAGGGAGCGGCATAAGAAGGAGAGGTGACAGACCTTTTATGATAGAGACAATAAATATATAAACCTGTAAAATCAAGTAATAGCAGGGTAAGCATATTATTTTAAAAAGGAAGCATGTACCAGAAAAAACAACTAAAAGAGGTAAAAGTGGCTGCTTCTGGAGTGGGAGTTTTGAGTAGGAAAGGGTGGACCTTTGTAAATATTTTTATCACTTGGATAAATATTAAAATTTAAAAAGATTTATTACCTACCCCCTACAGTTTTCATAGGACCCTAAAAGCATTGCTACCAGTAGCTTCTGTGTTAAGGGGAGGTAGTGTTGGTGGCTTTGGGCTTTCACATTTTCAGTGTAAAGTGTATAGAGGAGTCTACACCAGCAGTAACCTCAGCCACTTTGGAGAACAATGGCTGTGATATCTTTGGCAGGCATCATCAGATGTACTGCCTAGAGAGCTAACTGCCCCTTTTTAGTAGTGGCAACAATAGAGAAGATATCACTGAAATACACCAGAGTGAGAAAGGAGGAAAGCGGCCCAAGATACCTAAAGTACTCCTTAGGTGTAAAGAATCATCTGGGATGTTTGAGGTCAGTCTGGCCAGAGCCAGAAAAGCACGTCGAGTATCGTAAAAGCAAAATTGGATGCTTTGCCTTATGTCCGATATGACTTAGCACTTCATATACCACCGTCAGAAAAAAAAGACAACATTTTATATCATTTGGTAAACAAAAAAAATAACAGGTTCACTCTTCCCTTTCTGAACAGTGCATCTGAGTCTTCCTTTGATACTATTAGTGAAACATGACCCCTGTTTGTATTTGGAAAATACACATATTTTCACAATTGTTTACAGATACCTAATGGTAAGCTGCTAGAAAAAGTTACATGTAATTTTATACTACTTACCCAGTATTAAGTTTAAGGCCAAAATCAGCCATGTCTTCATTTTCAGAAGTGTATTTGGCATAACATTCACTCATCAAAGACTGAAAGGATGAATAGACCGTGCATGTGTTGTTGCGGACTTTTAGCTGACGGACTCTGGGGACTCCTAAAAGTATGTTTTCGTAGTAGATGCGACTGCTGTTTTTTAAATTATACAACTTCTGGTTATTGTACCATGAGTCCCAGTATAGACCTTCCAAAAGGGGTCCTTCCATAAACTTCGCATAGAAAGACAAATGTTATGGGAAAAATATTTTCATGTCAAATGTGTAACAGAATCTATATTCATAATATTAATGATCCATTAAGAGTATAAAAATCAGGGATTTTGAGGATGAGTATAAAAACGAAATTATTGACCAAGCCAACATTAATATTAATGGTTGTCTTCTTGAGAAGTTTTAAATTCCTAGCATGGCATATGTGATTTGACCTCTGTCTTTTCCACCTCATCTTCTATATGCCTATAATGCCAAACATAGCTCCATGTGTAGAATTATTTATAGTACATATTAGTCTTCCTAGAATGCCTTTCCATTACTTATCCTTTAAAACTCAACTGAATTGTCATCATCTCTGGAAAGCCCTCCCTACCTCTTCTTTGTATATCCCATACCTGAAACTGCTGTTCCTTTCATTGTTCTTTCCTCATAATGTGAGCATCTTGCTAAGTTAAATGTAATGGAAAAAACAAGTCTGTTCCAATGCTGAAGGAATGATTCTTTTATGCAATTAAAACTATAAAATTACATTTTGTATATGTACTCTATTATATACTAAACATTAATGTAACACAGTACAGGGTTGAATGGTATATCCAAATCACATATATTTCACTTTATGGCAATTTAAGGAATTTTTAAGAATAATTTTTCACTATACACAATTATAGACTGACTTTGGATCCTAACCCCCATAAAACAAGCAAGTTTCCTATTTCCCAAATGGAATAATGTTAAAAAAAATAAGCATTATTTTTTTAAAGTTATAAGAACTCTGTCACACTTAGAACACAGGTTCTCAATAAACAGTGAGAATGAACTGGCTAGTTGATTCTAATAGTTTAAAGAAATATTTATTTTCACTCATTCCTTCAACAAATATGTACAGCGTGCCTACTACGTGTGAAGAGTTTGTTTATACAATACCTAAAGCTACTTTATCCGCAATCACATGATACCTTACCTTCCAAAAATCAGTTATGCTGCGAATAGACTTAAAGTTGGTTCTTTCATCACCAGGCACAGAAGTGTCCAAAAACAGAGATGACATAACTTTGTTTAAGTAATACATATGTGGGTTTACCATCCCAAAAGTCACTAAGGAGAAGAATTTTTTGTTTAAAAATTTATGTTTAAAAACTGAGTTTATCAGGATTAAAAATGTACTTACAATTTGTTGCCAATTTTGTTTTGAAAATTCAGTTTTATTGTCTAACTATAAAAGTGATAATAAACTATAATAGAACTACACAAAACACAAAGTTTCCTGAAATTCCACTGCTAGAGTTAGATTTGGTATATATTCTTGAGGTTTTTCTATATGCATATACATTTATAAACAAAATAACTTTATTTTTATAAAAATGAGATCACATTATACATACTATTCTGCCAATAGGCTTTTTTTCATATTGAGAGTAGGTAATATGAGTAATTAAGGCTATGGACTTTCAATACAAATATAATGGTTTGAGTCCTATCACAGGGAAAATCTCTCTTACCTCATAGTTTTATTATAAGTGAGATAATGCATGTGGAAGGAACATTTAAAACTATGTTATGGTATATGATAAGAATTTTAACAAGTATTAACTAGCATTCTTTCTCACTCTTTCTAGGGGTGGGTGGGTGGGTTTTAGAATGGGGTGTAGACTAAATATGTTGTTGTTTTTTTTTTTTTTGCCAGAAACCCTTTGGTTTTTAGAAACCATGTATCTTCAATATCATTCCATGGCTGGCATTAGCCTATGCCATTTTTTAATGTTACATTATTTCATTGTATATACCAAAATGTTAAAACAAATCCTGTTGATGGAGATTTGTTTTCAATTCTTCCCAACTATAAAAAAAGTGTTTTGATCCCTGAATAATGGGGTTATGAATGATCTTTTCAGTTTTCCATTCCCCAAATGTTCTATAATAAGTATTTAAAAACCAGTCTAAGATAATTTAATTTATAAGATGGGCTATAGGTGTCTTTTTAACCAAGATCTGACTCAAATGCACCCCCGTAATACCAATTAATTAGTTAATTGATATTTGATTTCCAATGTGTAGTCCATACCAAAATGAGGTAAGTTGACAGTTACCTTACATCGACTGTATGTTGGGTGCTCTAAAGACAAAATGCTCTTTAATACTGATTAAGTCAATGCTACTGACTCACAGATAGGAGGAATGCAGGTTGTATTTTCCCCGTCCTGAAAGATTTGCATTGATTCATACCTTCTGTGGCTTAGCACAAGTATATTTTACTATTAACTGCGCAACAGAACAGGGAAAAGAACAAAGCAGACACTAAGACTAACTTCTTTGGCCTCATTTGTAGTTTGACCTATGAAACTGGGCCAACTCAAGGGGATATATATATAGTCATGGGACGTGGAGTACAGTGTGGGAGTGGAGTAAGGGATTTGTAATAGATATGTATGATATTGGGGGGAAATGGGGCAGCGGATTGGGGGAGGGGGGTTGTCACTTCAAGGGGTAAAAAGTATAACTAGTGCACTGTGTTGTACAGCTGAAACTAATTCTAAAAAATGTGTATTTCATAATAAAAAATAATAAAAAAATTAGGAATAGTGTCAATCTAAATGAATTTAAGATAATGCCTGAAATGTGTCACTATTTTTTGAGTTTTTAGTAATCTGAGAAAGCCTATGGTTTTATAAAGTCCATGTTTTATTTCTCATCTCCATATAGCTTCTTAGTTCAAACAGGTTCTTCATCTACATCTGTGTACTTACATATGCATAGGTTTATTAAAAAAATAAAATAGAGTAATAACTCTTGAAGTGTGGTTCTGATTTCTACTTCCTTTCTGAAATGCGGTTCATGTTTTAGAGTCCCTGTGAGATATAAAAAAAGATTTCCCTATATTATTATGTAATTCATAACGTATAAAAATACAATGATGGTGAAGTAAAAAAAAAGAAAATACAATGATGGGGAAAAAAAGCCACTTTAGCATTCCACTGTGTGAAGAAGGAAAGCACCAATGGATTCTGGTTATTTTTTAATTCTCACTTTATGAGGGAGAAATAATTACTAACGTTTTCCCATGGGGTTAAGTGGGCAGTCATTGTATGTCTGCATATTAACGGATTTTATAACACGGATGTCCAGGACAAGACCAGTAATGTCTTACAATGAAAAAGCAAAATACAAAACAACCTCCCCCACAACTGTCTCTAATCGTTTTCTCCAGCCATCAATACTGCTGCTTGGGAAAGCTGGCTTCTGCTGGAGGTAGACAAGGACTCGCCCTGTGGTTAAGGTCACGACTCCCTAGAGCGACACAGGACTTCGGACACTGGCCTAGCGCCGGTCATCGTACAGCAAATGACAGCGCCCAGCTCGAGCCTCAGGCGAGTGCCATGTCTCTTTACTCAGGGCTTCAGTTTTCCTGTCTGTGAAATGGGACCACCATCCCTCTCCGCTTAAGAGGCGATCGTGTGGGCAAAACATGCTGTAGGTCATTTTTCTCACATGACATGGTGCTACTAAGTTCCTTCCAGGGTATATGGACTCGCCAGTTCCGCCCTGCTCCACCCCTCCCTAGGGGTACCCCTCCCTAGGAGTACCCCTCACCGCCTTGGTGCCAACGGGACGCCTCAGCCATTGCGGACCCGTAAGAGACGCCCGTTCGACCTCCGCGTCTGCCGCGCCTGCGCGAAACGCCTAGCTGGGCGCCTGCCTAGCTCATGCGCCTGCGCGAGCCCTCTAGCTCCTCGAGGGGCGCAAGTAGCGCAACAAGTTGCAAGCGCGCGTGCGCACCGGGGACCTTCTGGAAGGGCTTCGCCTGAGGCGGGGCTGGTGATTGCGGCGTTTGTCTCCTGCAGGGGCCCGGCTTCCAGAGCAAACCTGGCTTTGGGCCTGAGGTTAATCATAAAAATCATAGTAATTAATTATAACGGGCTACTTTTTCTTGAATACTTTTAACATTTATTGGCTTGTTTGGTCTTCACACTCCCCTGCTTTGGAAAGGTAGGTGTTTTGTCCTCATTTTAGGTCTGAAGAAAGCGAGGGTGCTGAGAGGGTAAATAATTTACCGAAATCCACGGCGTGTTGGGGGCAAGGTGCGCTGGACGCCAAAGCCCGAATGCCTATTCAAGACCCCACTCTACTTGATGAAATTGGATATTAACCGAGAGCTGTTGCTAGAAATAGCTTCCACTCTTCCTTCCACCTAGTATAGCTGAAAGGAACGTTAAAATAGGTAAAAAGAATAAAAAAAAAAATAAAATCCAGCTCTGTAGTGATGATGTAAAAGGCCAAAACAGTAGTCCTTGGGAGCCCAGACTCATCTGGTTCCGAAGCTTTGCAAAGATGTGAAGGTTTGTAAACCAGCTGTAGAAAAGGCCTACTGACAAATTTGGCTGTAAATTAAGGCATCCAAAGCCTGCCAGAATATTAGACAGGAGGAATCCTCATGTTGGTAAACAGGAAAATAAAAATCAGTCTAAAGGCCCTAGGACATCCACCAAAGAAAACCATCAAGCTGTTTTGAAAATAAAAAATAAAGCCACTTTTGTTATTTCCCTGAAAGAGATGTAGAGTGATGTTGATAAATGCTATTTTATGTGCAGATAAAAAGCAAAAGTAGGCCACAGCAGGGGGGGGTCAAAGGCTACCAATGCTAAAAGAAACAGGAGAGGCCCTGCAAAAGGCCGACAGCCAGTGGACAAGAGGCCTGAGAAAAAGAAAAGGCTACTGTCCTAGCTTAAGAATAGTTTAATAAAAGGTTGTGCCCTTTTCTGTATTTGGACTCTCAGATGCTTACAGAATTAGGTTTCTAATGTAATAGGTTATCTGAATTTGAAATGGATGAACCCCCCCCAAATATAGGTATTCAAATTTACATTAAATATTAAGCATGTGAGTCTACAGACTATTTTTATGTCATTGAGCTTGGTAGTCTCAAAGATCTTGAAGAATTAGAGACCTATTTGGTTAAAACAAAATTGTTATTTCAGGAAAAATTTCATCATGATTTAAGTTTCAAATGGTTGCCTTTGAAGTGCAAACCATGGAAAGTCGAGCTCACTTTCCGGAGGAATTGAACTGCAAGTTTCACCAAGACATACTGTTCTAGAATATAGTGTTGCTCTTTTGGAACTTGTTATTCATAGGTTTTGCTGAATTGTTTAAAAAACCAAAAGTTTTATCTTAAAAGATCTAGACTTTTGTGAAGAAGAGACAGTCTGTTTTAAATAGTTGAAATTTTATTCTCTTTTGACATAAAACTATGGAACACTCAGATAATCTATACCATATTAGTATTCCTATAAGAGAAAATGGGTAAAACAATATTTAGAAAGCAGTAACAGTAAATCTTATTACAAGCATTAGGTGTGTTAAAAAAGTTGATACTAATTCATAATGCCTAACCTGTAATTGTTAAATGTGTATTGACAGATGTTAAAACCCCACATTTTGAGATAGTCTTCTACAATTAAAAACCCATATACCCAGATTTTCTGTAGGCTTCACAAACCAAAGAAGTAGATAGAATGTGCAAGAGGCAAAGGATAAATAATATTATAAATATATATTTGTTATGTTACTTAATTAAAGCCATCATCTATTAATACAGCTATGGATGTATTTCAGAAATTTAATTGAATATATTACTGCTAGTGTAGTTGTGTTTTCCAGTGTTGGTAAAGTTATTAGAGTTCTTCACTTTCATAGAGTCCAGATTGAGCTGCCAGACGCTGAAACTCTCCTTCAGGGTTAAAAGCTTGTTTCACATCCAAACCTTTTCCGTTAAGTGCTAAATATTTGCTGAAAGTTGGCCTGACACGTAACTGCTTAGGAGCTGGAAGAGTTTGGTTTGGACGGGCTGAAATAGATCAAATAAAAGTTAATTCAGAAAACCTGTTTTAAACAAATGGGTTGCACTAGGTATTCATTATTAGACAGGAAAAGAAAAAAAAATTGAAACTGATGATGTGGAAAATCCCTCAGATTTTATACTATGCTGAGATTTGTGTTTCTTATTAATTCTTCCTGGTTAAGTCCTTTATAACACTTGACATGACATACCTGTGACATCTAATCTTGTGTTACATGTGGTCACTCCAGCTTCATTAACTGCAGATACAGTATACCACCCAGCATCTTTCTTGTTTACATCTTTTATCAGTAAAGTAATTCTTCCAGAGTTATCATGATATAAGCTGAAAAATAAAAAAAGTATAAGAATTAATTTTCCTGTGAAAGTTTATTTACGATGCCTCTGATTTATAGTCAGACTAATAAGAAAAAGAAGCATTTGGAAACTCTGAGGCTATATCTAGTCATTGCCAAATAGCTACTGGTTTCTTGAATTAAATACACCCCCCCCCCCCCCGCATAATGTTGTTTATATCATTGATTTTCTTCAGCCATCTTTGTTTATTGTTAGTAGAAAGGTAAATCCTAGCCTATTTTATGCCTTCAATTTCTGATAGTGGAATCTGGCTTAATGAAGTTTATTGTATTTCTATATATGTTTTAAAAACGAGACAAAAGGAGATCACAAATGCATGCCATTTATAATGTATTTCAAAGTATAACTGGATTCACCCACGTAAGCTAGAGTTAAGTCTAGAAATACTTAATCCTACCTTATTCGATCAGTGTTGAATTGTACCATTTCATTATTTCTTTTCCAGAAAAGTTTTGGTGGAGGTACAGCTGAGATTTGGCATTCTAGCTTCACTGAGTCTCCCTCAAAAACTTTTTTGCTCTGTGGTTTATAGATAAACATTGGTGCTCTTCCATGTTCTTTAGCTACATATTAATAAAAAGATCAAGGATTTGAAATATTATAAAAAGATACTAAGTCAAACCAAAGTATTATGAATTTTGTATGTTGATATAAAAGTTTTTAAAAGTACCAATAACAGAGTTGGAAGCTTTATGTTTTAGCTTTAGTTAAAATAATACACAATACTATTGTATTACACCATTTAGAATTCTAAAGCAGTAATGTAATGATGCACTGGATTTATAGCCATGTTTCATTCAAATAATTTGTCATATTCTCATTTATCATGCCATCTATAGGGAGGCAGCATGAATGGTTGAAAGAGTACCAGACAACTTGGGTTCAAATTCTTTATTTGCCCTACTAGCCATGCCAAATTGGGAAAAAAAATCAATTTTGTCTACTGTAAAATAATACAATATCCAAGTAATAGTGACGGCGTGCCTACCATACAAAATGATTGTGAGGATTAATTGAGATACTGAAGAAGCACTCTGTAAACTATAAAATATTATACAAAGGTCAGTAATTATTATGTCTTTACTTTTCTTCAAATACCTGAGGGAAAGGAAGAAATGGTACTATAATGCTATAAGCCTAGCTTTTCTGAAGGAGAAATGAGGAGATCAGACAGATGACTGCCAAGGTCTCTTCCAGCTTTAACATTATAGTATTTCTGGAGCTGTTGGCACAAAAAGGATTTGCCCAAAGCTTAAGTACTTGAATTGGATTAAAAAAAATTTTTTTTTATTTCCAGATCACTCGTTTTGGACTGAGGTCCCTTATTATAGCATAGAATAATCTTGAGATTTTTCATTGATCTGGGTAGAATACAAACTCAAGAAAATTTTCCACCTTGATAAAGCTTTTATATAATAAACAGTGAATTATAGTAAAGTATGTCTTATGCAACATACCATGGCTTAAACCATTATAAATGTGATGTATTTAAAGCACTTAAGTATTTTAAAACAACATCAGTTTTATGAGAACTTCCTTACAAAGACAAATTTACGACATGAGTTTTGCCCTATTTGTATTCTAAAGCAAGTAGGCATGTCTTTCTTGTCATAATTAGATTAGTTTCCTAGTAAAGGGAACATAGTCTAAGGCTAAAAGTTGACATTTACTCTTCAGTTTTAAACTATACATGATTATGACAGTTCTGTGAAAATGTGAGTCAGATTGATTATTTTAGATTGTAGACCAGAGTAATGATTAGACTAAAATTTTTTACTTTAAGACCCTTTAAGTTACATCTAGAAATGCATATGTTACCTTATGTGGTTTGTCTGAAATTGTACCATTTTTAAATTTCCTTTCCAGAAAAGCTTTGGTGGTGGAGCTGTCATTCTAATTACACTGAGTTTCCCCTCAAGAACACGGTTCTCCCCTGCACCCCACCATCTGTGGCTTTTAGGTATAAACTGGTATTCTACTGGGTTGTATAATACAGACATTAGCTTCAACTATGAAGTCCTCTGGGTTTTTTTTTAAATTCTTTCTTTTTTAATACTGCAGGATTAAGGATACTCTAGGATCTCTCTTAGAAGGCTTACCCAAGACATCCAGCTTTACAGTAAAGGTGGCTTCTCCTGCTCTGTTCTTGGCAACACATACATAAGCCCCTGCATCCGAAGTTCTGACCACTTCAAAGATGAGTGAATGAAAACCCTTCTCAGACACGATCATTTTGTGAAGGTCATCTGATTGAACTGGTCTTCCATTTAGATACCATGACACATCAGGAGCTGGCAGTCCGCTTACCTAGAAATGAAATACAAGGAGATGACAGAATTTTAAATGATAGCATCACTGGAACCCATTTGTCTCTTTATGAATTTTAACAATTCCAGTGTCTGAATGGGTTTGTGATTGAAAATGCAAAGCAAGAGCTTAAAAAGGTATTTGCTTTCAATAATTTTCAACAAAACAATGGAAATTAAAACTCTTGAATTTAATATAGTATTTTCAGACTATCTCAAACCACATCTAGCTCTTTGATATAACCTTTAAGGTCTCTTAATTATTATAGTTAGAACATTATATTTATTAGGTTGTAGGCACTGTTGTACCTTATACCTGTTGACTCAGTTAATCCTCAAACAACTTTATGAGGTAGTTACATTTGTTATTCCCATTTTACAGATGAGACAAAGCCCAGAGTTGAAGTGACTTGTCTAAGGTCACATAGCTGACAGGTGGCGGAGCCAGGATTCAGACCCAGGTAAGTTTGGCTCCAGAGTTTGTTTTTATCCACTACACATACTGCTTGCTTCTCAAGCTGTGTAACAAGCTGTGAAGAGGAAGAGGACATTGTTCAAAACTTAGTATCTCATTGTTCATTTTCCTTCAGTATTTTTTAACTCTTCTTACTTTGAAGTCCATTCTGCAGAATCTTCCTTCTTCAATTGACATGTTCTCTGGCACTTGAATGAAACGAGGCGGGTAACATTTCTCCTGGATTGCGTCCTCATCATTCACACCTCCCCTTGAAGATGATCGACTTCTACAAAAATATTTTAGTAATCACTATGCAGAAAAGTTGTCATAGCTCTTCCTTTCACACAAATACAGCTTAGCCATCAAATTTGAAACCCTAGAGGCTATGCTGTTGGATCTGATAGTGAGGTAACAATGGAGAGAGGCCTTAGGGTTGTATTTAGCTGTGGCATATTTGATAACTGTTAGAAATGGTAGCAATTTAAAACAACATCTGGTACAAATTGCACATCTATGTTTGTTTTTTACAGTGCCATGAATTGATGAAGAAACTGATCTATTAAAATGCAGAGTACCCCATGGACAATTCTTATCACATGCAAAGATTGTATAATTAGAATTGGGTTTCTATTATCGTGAGAAAATTGTTTATTATGGAAATGTGTTCCTGGCTTATTTGACCTAAACAATTAAAAAACTTCCTCTAAGATACTTCTAATAATTAGCAGATAAGAATTGTGATCATCTCTTGACATTAGAAAATTCACATTGTGTTTTTAAAGAAAGTATGTAGGAAGTATACAGGATTTATAAATATTATATTTTTAAGCTGAAAACAGGTAGCAAAATATATATTTTTTAAATTAAAAAATTTTCTTTTTACCTTACTTGTGACGTAGGAACTTGCAACCGTGCATATTCTGAATTGTGCTGCTTGGAATTAAAACAAAGTGATAATGTTAACATGCAAATTTTAGCTTGAAATGAAGCTGAACTAAGTACGCGGAGTTGTAGTTGAAAGGAGCATTTCTATGTTGGCTGTATTTGTATGGTCATGATTAGTTCTATATAGTTAGCTTTTAAGCATTGAAAATGTAGTGCACTAACCTTCTAATAGTCTAGCAAGAAATGCCACAGGCATGATTTACGAAAATTAGATAGACTTTGAATTGATAGTGGTTCATTTTTCAGATGACTGTTTTGCGACAGAGGATGATATGTCCCCCTGCTGTATTTGAAATGGGAGCACACAGTACAGGTTGTCCTTTAGTAAAACAGGAATAGACATGAAGTCACTTGTGTTGGCAGTAGATACAGAGTATTATGCCTGCTGCTCAAAAGTGGCACCAACAGCAGTAAACACATATTAGACTGGAAAATACTTCTCTTTTTAGCTCATGACACAAAATCCTGATGGACACCATGGAAGATATGTGTAGGGCACAATGAAAAGGCTTTGAAAAACAACATGAATTAATTCCTGATTAATAAAGGGGTATTTAAGCAGACATCTTTAGGATTTATATCTGAGCACCAGAAAATTATTTCTGTTTGAGAATAAAATCAGGAGTTGATGAAAATTATAATAGAATTAATAAGTTGATCAAATATTTAGTGCCTATTTTGTGTAGTTCACTGTGCTTGGCAGAGGGATGCACAGAAGTGGAAAATATATTCCTTACTTAAATACCTGAAAAACATCTGTATAACAACACAGCACATCAGTGCAAATACTTTATTTTTGGATGAATATGTTTAATGTATTTTGTCTTTTTAAAACAAAATTCTTAAAACTCAGTAACAATTTTTGGCTAGCCTTAAGATTTTCTAAGCAAAATATCAAAACAACAATTCAATGATCAAACAAATCAAGTAATTTTTTGGTAAAAAAATAAAAATAATCCAGTTAAACTCAAAATATCCAAATTAAGTTCTTAACTTTTTCTCTTAGTAGTGGTTTGAATATGTATGTATTTGTATTCATAGATGTGACACTGCAGTTATACATAGTTTGCTGACATATTATTTAGGTAGAATGTTTGACGTATACAAAAAAATGTAAGATTTATCTTTTCTGATTTCATAATGATGTATATTTTCTGCTATCTCTCTTCCTGTTACTATCACCTCCCTTTGAAAGTTTTTTTTTTTTTTTTTTTTAACCATCTTGCCACCTGTTAGCAAGCAGCTCAGCTTGGGCCAGGCATCGAACTGCTGTTGCTCAGAGCTCACACTCTTGAGTGAGCTCTTAACCAACTGAGCCACTCGGCCGGCCCTGAAAGTTTTTAAAGAATGAACGAGAAAAACAATATATCCTTGCCCTTGAAATCATAATTTATATAAGTTAAACCATCATCAATATAACATTGCTCTGAGTTACTTCTAATAGAGGTAGAACTGTGTCTTATTCTTGCTGTAATCTCTTGTACCACCACAGTAGGTGTCATATATAAATTAGCTGAATGAATGAATCATGAACTGTTCAAGAGCCAACAAGAGATTTAAATTCTGTTTTCAGTTTCTAGTTACTTGTTTAGTTAGACCCTGCTCCATCCTTGTTAGTAGCACTACTGCCATTTAACAGAAACAAAAATCTTATTTTCAGCTTCTTATACTTAGAAGCTCGGTATTCTTGAATGCCCAGTTTCATTCCTTTGGCTCCCAGTTTCTTGTGGACCTTTGGGGAAGGAATGAAAGGCGATCATAGTTCTGTCTGCCCCTTGAACTGAATGTTTCTTTTCTGGGTTAAGTTTACTTGTTAAAATGAAGTTGGTCAGGCACAAACCTGTGAGATGGATATTCACTTTATGCTCTCCATAAAGTTAATCCCTTTTTGGAAAGGATGCTTTTGTTAATCTTGGAGCCATTTCTTCATAAGTGTGTTTTTATTTTTGTTTTTTAGTTTGTTTTTAATAAGCATTTGTGAATACAGGAACATGACAAAAGGAATTGGATGTTTCATTGTACCATGAATATATTTTAACCCTCTGTCGGGCAAAACTGATCTCACAGATTCATTGCACATACATTTTCAAATATCTAACAGTTAACTTAAATATCGCGACTCATCGCTTCCGTATCTTCCTCCTCTACCGTACCTAGCGCCAGTCGTGTTTGTGACTTAGTACAGTAAAGACATTTCATAGCGGCATCTTTGTGTGCAATGACTCTGTGAGCTCAGTTGCGCCCGACGGAGGGTTAAAACATTGAAATGATAAACAGCTTATGAGAAAAGGTTATAATTACATTGGTTTAGGGTTTTAACTTCTGTCCTACTGAAGACTTAAAACTCATAAATTTTCTGTCTATGCAGATAATTGTAGAAGTCCAAGGTCTAACTGACCCCTGAATGTCCCAGATGAAAAGTGACTCTTTAGCTTTCTGGTGTTTTGTCTGTGTGATATTTTCTTATACAGATGTTAGAACCACCAGAGAAATGGGGTAAAATTGAAACTATATATATATTTCAGCCCATCATGGCCTCTCCCATGGAAGTGATCGGCTTTTGCTTCAAATGCCGTTTATAAACATTTAGAGAAGCAGACATTTAAAAATCACACACACACAAAAAGCATTCCAGTTAGGTAAAGATTATTTTAATTTACCTGTGGTGAATTTTGTGCCTCACTGTCATTTTCAGCTTGAAACACAGCAGCTGCATTCTGTGGTCCTAGCAATCTGCGAGCCATCTTCTCCTCGTATGTTAGCCGCTTTAATGATAGAAGTCATTAAGGAGATAGTAATGAGAGTTAATAAAAGTTATTATTGTACAGCTTTATCTTAAAGCCATCAAAAATTCTACCAAAGTATAGTTCTGTCTATTGAATTGTAGATAGATGCTAGCTCTATTTTTAAAAAGCCTTTTCTTTCATTCAAAGCATTTCCTTCCATTTTAGTGCCACTTCCCACATCTATAATATTCACTTCTGTTTTCTTTTTGCTCCTAGGAAAGGCAGGCACAATCACCCTTAGATAAGGTTCTCCCAAGTAGAGGGAAATTCTTTCCCTTCTTGTGTGTGTGTTCCATTTGGCTCTGTCTTCAAATATAGTACTGCATGTCTTTACATTGAGGAGGAACTTTCACTAAATGAACACTAAATATTTGACTTACTAACTTCTGGCTGAAAGCAGTGCAGCTGATATGTGTTACATGTATTTGGATTAAAGGCATATAGTACTGTTTCAAAGACAGATGACAAATACAATATGCACAGTAAATTACCTAACAACAATTATAGCTATTTGTCCATCAATAATATACACCATAGTACATGAAGAAGTCACGTTGATAGTATTTCCTATTAGTTATTTGGTCATCAGATGTATTTTATGAGAGGGTAATGCTTAAAACAAAATATTAAATTATTCAGATCGATATTTCATTTGCTTCATTTTACTACTGAAAACCAAGAGACGATTTCATTATACAGTCACAGATCTGTGAGATAGAAAGAACTTTCTGAGATTAGATTTTATAGTTTAATTGACTTTTTGTACAGAAGAGACCTCTTACTCACTTGATTTCCATTATGAAGAAGGCTGTCCTTGCATTTTAGCTTTCTCTCCAAATCTTGAATCAGAGCTTCTTTGGATCCTTGTATTTCATGGTCAGGAGTACTTGGTGTGGGCTTAGCATTTGCACTTTGGAATAGCTTAGCATTTACAGGTTGGCCAACTGAGGGTTGTTGACAGCTTTAAAAAGAAGAAAAGATATTTTTTTAAAAAGAAGATCTTGAGAGTGAGATATATATATGTAAAAGAGATTTGGCCTTGTTTTGTCAATTACCTTTACATAGGCTGAATCTATTAAGTTAGTACTACTAGTGTTATTAAAAACACCAGTTTCCCTAACAGTTGAGAAGGATTTTATAAGAATGGTTACCAGCTTTTTTTTCTTTTGGTCTTGGCAAATGAAAATTAAGTGGCAGGAGGAACAATTTCAATAAGACATAAGGAGGATGTCCTTCCTTGAAGATATTCCCTAAAGAAGTGAGAGTAAGTCTA